CTGGGCTTCCCAGAGAAGTCCTTGCTCTCATCTGAGTCTGTACTATCAGGAGAATCCCCAGATCGTTCATTAAATGAACCTCCTTTCTCTGAATTGATTCTATTTATTGACCAATCTCCATAAAACCTGTTAAAAAATATATATTAAATGTTTTTTTTTATAGAATTGCAATTGTAAACTTAATTTAACTTATGTTGAATATATTATTTTTATTACAGAATAAATCTTGTTAGCAATAAAAATGATCAATTGAAAATCAATTGACAATCAATTAATAATCATTCTAAGATCAATCATTAATCACTGAGTTCTAGAGATAGAGATTCTGGACATTAAAAAACTGTTTTTTATCCAACAATATACCTTGTTTCAGAATAAAAAAGTGCAAATAATTATTTCAGCACTAGAAGTCTTTATAAGATTTCTTTATAAGTTCTGCTAAAATAATTACTTATACATTTCATATAGAAACTTTTAATGATAAAAGCCTTGCAAACGAACATAAGACTTCTAATGCAAAAATAATTACTCTTGCACATTTCTTCTTGATAGAACCTTCTAATGTTAACTTTGCATATCATCCCTCTACTTCAAAAGTGATACAACTAAAAAAAATATGATTTTCAAATTATTACAATGAATGAATTAAATAAACATTACCCTACCAATTATTAAAAAAAAATGGATTTTTTTAATAATTACTCCGAGTAACTAAACTCTTCATAACAAAACTATCAAAATCGTCACAACTCAAAAATTGATTATTTTAAGAGTTGTGAAACAAAAAAGAAATGAAAAATAGCATTTAACTATATTAAGAATATTTTTTTGATCGATATTATTTGATTAGTCAAATAATATAATATCACAATTTCATTTTCTGTCAAGTTAAAAAATAGTTTTTCCTCTTTTCTGAGAAACTTGATTTTTTTATCACTTTTGTTATATCACTTTTGAAGTAAGGGACTAATATGAATATAGAAATCTTAAGTCTGTTTTTTCCTTCCTTTTTCCTGCATTAGACTGCACTAGAATTTTCTTCTTTGTTTTCTTTTGTAAACTATCAAACCTATTTCACTTCAAGTTTAAAAAGTATACATATATGTATACTAATTCAGCTACAGAAAAGACTTCTCATCTACATTTTTCCAGTATTTTTTTGACAACTTGCTGAAATATGTTACAATCAAATTGCCAATAAGGTGAGTACTCATTTGATGCAACATTGCAAGCAAAAAAACATCCAAAATGAGTACAGCAATTTTATAGCAACTTTGCAATAACAATTATAGTAAAGAATATATAACATATATTATGTATAAATATATGATATATAAATATATATTATAGCAATATTTCAGTATAAAATTATAACTATTGTTCATTATCAGAAGTGCAAATATTTTTGACAAATTTAATTCAATAAATATTTCTGTCATTATTATAGCAATAGTAACAATTGTTAGTAGGTGGATTTTGGAATAGTACTTTTGCATGAAATATTATCTAGATATAAATACCACCAATGTTAAAATTATTACTCAAGCATTTGCTTACTTATCGAACATCAACCTGTCTAAGCCATCAAGCTTAGACTCAATGCTACCAGGAGCGTCTCCGGCGAACTTGTTGCCCATAGTCTTGAATTCTACTTGTGTCGGTGATAATGGAGGTGATGGAACATGCTTGGCGATTGCCTCGCTCTTGCAAGCATAGCACCAGATCCTGTTGGTCGACAGATTCATATGGGCGCAGTGAGTCGGGAAGTTCTGGTTGTGGATGGTGCTGTGATCGAGATGCGTTTCCGCACAGCCGACCCAACGGCAGTCGGGGAACAGGCAGAGCCAGAGGTTGGGCCCGGGAGTGTCACAGTCACTACATTTAGCGAAGCGCTCTTCCCGGGCCATCACTGCCTCGATGAAGGCGAGATCGCCGCGGTTGGCCAGATGAGGGCAATTCCTTACGACTAATGGCATTTTTCGTTTTTCTCGAGGATAGCGGATCGTCGTCCTCTTTCACCAGGGATGACAAAGTATCAATGTTTCCACTCTTCAAAGTGCAATGATGCTTTCTCGATCGTCCTCGCGCTCGCGTACGGCAGTCCGGGATTCCCGTCCGGCCTACGCGCGGTTCGTAACAACACATGCCACTATCATTATCACGCCGTTGTCACCGTTGTTGATAACTATCGCTGCTGTTCTCTAACCTAATCGTGACAAATCCGGCGCCATCAGCAGACTCAACTGTTACGGAGAGGATCCGTGAGCGCTCGCTGCTATTGGATGATCTAAAAGAATACACCAATAGCATCGAGCGCTCACGGATTCGCTCCACAACAGTTGAGTCTACTGAACGCGACCAATGGCTGCGTTCAGCAGACTCAACAGTTTTGCAACCGTTTTATGATTGTCTGCTGAGATAGGACCATTCTTCTAGATCTAAAAGTAGGATCCAATTAGCGTGAAGGAAACTTCCAACAGTTGCAAAACAACCGTTCTGCTGAACGCAGCCAATGGTCGCGTTCAGAAGACTCAACTGTTGCGGAACGAATCAGTGAGCTCTCGCTGCTATTGGATGATCTAAAAGAATACAGCCCGTATTCAGAACGCGCTTACACGATGTTAGCGCGCTAACATACTATACTTTAGGTTACGCATATTATAGACTTTCAGAGATAAAAGCGCGCTTTTATCCATAAAAGCGCGTTCTGAATACGGGCCTACATCAATAGCAGCGAGCGCTCATGGATCCGCTCCACACAGTTGAGTCTGCTGAACAAGACCAATGATATCAAGCAGCGAACCTCTGCGAATCTCGCGCGCACGAAAACGATTGTTATTGACTGCGTTCAGCAGAACGTTTGTTTTGCAACTGTTGTAAGTTTCCTTCGCGCTAATTGGATCATACTTTTAGATCTAGAAGAATGGTCCTATCTCAGCAGACAATCATAAAACGGTTGCAAAACTGTTGAATCTGCTGAACGCAGCCATTATGGCCCGTCTACAATACACATACTTAGTAAGCTTGGTTTAAGAAGTAAGAATAAAAAATTGACCAATCACAGTCGAATGTAAGAAGAATAATCGACTGTGATTGGTCAATTTTTTACTCTTACTTCTTAAACCAAGCTTACTTCGCATATTGGGTGCATTCAGTATCACGATTGCTCACTGACCTCTGCTACACAGCACGCTTAATCGGGTTTAATAACATCCGTAGTTATGAAATTGTCCAATCGTAACTGTTCCTCGGAAGAATGGAATGACTGTGATTGGCCAGTTTCACAACTACGGATGTTATTAAACACAATTAAGCGTGCCGTGTAGCAGAGGTCATTGAGCGCTCAATAAGCTCTTGTATCTATTTGGTCTATATTTTTAGTTTTAACGGAATATGCCAATAAAATGTAAACGCTCACTGATCACTCATTGAACGGTTGTAGTACTAAATGCATCCATTGTAGACAACGCCTTATGCGTGGTCTACAATGAACAGTAGCAGTAGAGACTGTAACCATGGGATTGATTCTGTATCTTGAAACGAGGTGAAAATTACAAAAGTGAACAAATTTAATAGAATACTGATAATTTCATTGGTTAACGCCTAGTAAATTTGCTCACTTTTGTCATTTTCACCTTGTTTGGAGATACAGAATTGATCCCCATGTCAGGAGTGAAGGCCATCACACGTACAAAAATTTTAGTCGTAATCATAAGGTCGTAAGTAAATCGGCCAATCACAGTCGAGCGAGATCTTAATTTTGATTGTGATTGGTCGATTTGCTTGCGACCTTACGATTCCGACTAAAATTTTTGTACGTGTGATGGCCTTAAGCTGGTTTTCCAGCTAAGTCATTAATGGTTAGTCGATGAATGTCAAATCGATGTTGATTCAACATCGCTCGACGTTAATAATAGCTGCGTTCAGCAGATTCAACAGTTTTGCAACCGTTTTATGATTGTCTGCTGAGATAGGACCATTCTTCTAGATCTAAAA